ATACGTATATGAATATTTAAACATGTTTATGTTTAAATATTTATATGTATATATTTATGCATCAAAAATTATTTATCGGGAACATAGATCAAGTTCGGTCTTTGTTTTAGCATCGTCTTTAGATTGTTTTTCTGGCAAGACGAAAAGATTTAGTCTATATGTCGAAGAAACAACTTCTTTTTGAAAAACCGACATTTTTTTGTCATTTTTTAATGATTGTGTTTTCAGCAAAGTGAAAAGTCATGACTAAGGCCCAGTTTTACAACTCACGGTTAACTCTTAACCGAGATTCGACTTGTTTCTCATCTCTTTCCATTTCTAGAATTGAAAAGAGATAACGAACTGGACCTAAAAGATATCTCTTCGAGAATTATTACTGAAAAAGCAATATGAAAAAGATCTTTCCATTATTTTGATAATTTTCATCATTTATTTGTGAGCAATACGCGAGTTGTCACCGAACAGACATTGTGGAATTGTTTCTCGTTCGAAAATTATACAGGATAGAATAAAAAGTGCAGCATTATGAGAAATTTATCCATGTTCTAATGAATTAATATAATTTTTTGTAAACGAATCCCCAAAGAGGATTTTGATGAAAGATAATGGCTCTTGCACACATGACATGGTAAGCATTGCAGGATTCATAAAGGAGATACATATATTGATAGTTATACAATTTCGTTTAATTTTGTGTAAAAATTAATTCATGGATCTGATATTAAATGTTACATGTGCCAAAATATAAAAACTAAAAAAACACTTAAAAATGACTAAAAGATTGTAAAAATCATTATTCTTGCAATAATCATTATATATCTTTATTATAAATATAATAAAACTATAATATAAATGGATAAAACTATAAAGAGAGCTTTCCAGCAGAGGCACAAATCGACACAAGAGTCATTCTGTTTTTGTTTCTTATCGATTATCGAATAAGGACAGGATGACTCTTATGACAATTTGTGTTTCTTGCAGGAAAGTTCCTATTGATGACTAACAGTGCAACATCTTTAGTTATTTTTTTATCGATTATATTTTTTCACTAAAAGATCTTTATAATAATTTAATCCTCTCGTAGTCATCTTTCAGATAACTTTATGCTCTCTCTTTCTCTCTCTCTCTCTCTCTCTCTCTCTCTCTCTCTCTCAAAATTAAATTCTCTCTTCTACAAAATTATTTTACAATTACAACATTTTATCTTGAAGAAAAATGTTCTTTTATATTTTTCTTAAAGCAAGTTTTAAGATTACCTTAAACAAAAGTTTAAACTGTCCAAATTTAAAAATGTTATAGTTCGAGTTGTAAATTAAACATAAATCAAGCGGATTATTTCTTGTTCCCGAAACGTTACAAAAATATTTCTAGAACTAAAGTTGTAACGTCCCTAATATCGAAGGCAAGTTTTACAAATGCATATTTAAAATGAAATTATTTTAAATATTACCTAGCCCTGATGGTGATAAACATTACGGCACGAATATCTTTTTGCCCCAAGAATCATAAAAATATTGACATCGAAAAATATATTTGATGATTATTTTTGGAGTTTCGTTTGTTAGTTGAATTCATGTATTATTATGTTTTTATTGTACATTATTTTATTCTTTATGGACTTTTTATCTTCATGGGTATGTGTGTGTGTTGTTTCGCGCTGCCTCTTGATTAATCTGACTTATTGATCTATTGTAGGTAATTTATCAAAGTATGGTAAAAGTCATAAAATGGGTTTTTTTTCCGATAAATGCTTATTGTTATTCAACGGTTCCTTCGTTATCAACTAAATATTGATTGAAATGCAAGTTATTTTATGAAAATACGTTTTAAATTATATAACTATTTTACATTAATTTTGAATAATAGAAAATGTTAGAAGTTCTATCAATTTAGATGAAAAATTATATTTTTACTAATTAAAAACGCAGAAGAAATACTAACAACAATTAAATCGTATTTACTATTAATTATTAATTTGCGAATATAAAACTTAAGAATATCGCGATAAAAAGTCATTAATATATTTATAACAGCACTTTCATCGCGTTCAATAACTATTTCAATAATCAAAGTTCCTTCGCTTTATGATACGTTGATTAATATCCAATACAAACAAGAACAATCTATTAGTGGAGTAGTCACAATCTTCATAGTGGAGAGTGAACTTAATGTATTCTAATTCTACGTAAAATTTACAAGATCCATTTGCAAAGAAAAGTTAAGCAATCTGTCAAATGTCCAGTGATCTCGTTACAGGAGGGTACGAATCCCGAATCTTTCAGATCACTTACGATAGTAATAATTTTGTTAGCATGTCAATTACAATTACCATTTTTATCACATCTTTAATATAATATTAAAATTCGCGAAAAAACATGTTCTGCCACACATCACTAAAAATCATCTCGGATTAAAAATAAACAGATAAAATGATTTCTTTATGAAATAGTGATTACAAAAGAATATATTTAATAATAATAAAATACATGCGTTAAATGTAATTTTTTATATATATGGGTACAAAAGTTTCTCGGATAACTGTTCGAGATAAATCAAACCTGATAATAACGGGATTTTAAAGAACTTTTATACTTTTATATTAAAAAATTTATTCTATAAAATTTAACAATTCCTTATTTCTTTGTATTTTCCAAAAAATTTATTAATATCCCGCTAATATGAGTGTACCTATTCGACTTATCTCGAATT